CCCGGCGCACCCCCCACAGGGCGCTGCGAGGGACACGGTCGAATGCCTTCTCCAGATCCACGCAGCACATGTGGACTGGTTGGGCAAACTCCCATGAACCCTCTGCCACTCTGAAGAGGGTATAGAGCTGGTCCAGTGTTCCACGGCCAGGACGAAAACCGCATTGTTCCTCCTGAATTCGAGGTTCGACTATCGGTCGAATTCTCCTCTCCAGTACCCTGGCATAGACTTTCCCGGGGAGGCTGAGGAGTGTGATCCCCCTATAGTTGGAACACACCCTCCGGTCCCCCTTCTTAAAAAGAGGGACCACCACCCCGGTCTGCCAGTCCAGAGGCACTGTCCCCGACCGCCATGCGATGTTGCAGAGGCGTGTCAACCAAGACAGCCCAACAACATCCAGAGACTTGAGGTACTCAGGGCGGATCTCATCCACCCCCGGTGCCTTGCCACCGAGGAGCTTCTTAACTACCTCAGTGACTTCAGCTTGGGTGATGGATGAGTCCACCTCTGAGCCCTCAGCCTCTGCTTCCTCATCGGAAGACATGGCGCCGGGATTGAGGAGATCCTCGAAGTATTCCTTCAAAGCCCACTCTAATGAAGGCAAGCAGATTACAACACCGGTGACAGAGGCAGGGTGGTCGACCAGTAATGCTAATCTTTGTTTAAAGCGAGAGAACGATCAGTGACAGAGTGAGGAGGGGAATGCAGGGGTGTGAGGAGTTTAGGAGATAGTCCCTCCTGATTGAAGGGGAGTGGGTGACTTTCAGTGCTGGTGCTCTTACATAGACAGGCAAGCATCTCTCCGCACAGCTGTTGTTATACTAGAGCAAAAGAGGCTTCGCCCCAGTGATTCATGTCCTGCCAAGGGAGAGGTTTTGCCTCCTGTTTGACCTCAGTGAGAGTCCTGCTGCCCTGACAAGGCCATATGTGGGCCATCTTGGCCACATGGGGTGAGTGCAGATACAGGATGACACATGCTCTGATCTCATTTCCATTCATAGGAAGACATGTCATGGCACACTGATGGGTAAAGTACAATTAGTGTACAATGAATGAACAAAAGCAAGTTTTAGTTGTCTAGTAATGACAAGCACTGAAAAGGCAGGGTTGTGATTTTTGAGGCTGAACTTGAAAATGCTCCAAACTCACACTGAAGGGATTTGCCTCAGTCTTTAAAACAGTATATGGTTTTAAAGTGAATAATAAGTACATCCTTTTGCATTTATGTGGTATTTATGTCTTATTGTTTGTTTATGTTGTGATCACAATGAACATTATTAGGCAACTCAAATCCAGGAGTTTATCCTGTAGTGTAGCAGCCAATCTAATCTACTGACTCTGTGCACCCTAATTACCTTGGTTTATACTGAAAGCTGAGGCCCGATAAAACAAAATGAGAGGGTGTTTTCTCTTCAGTTGTCAAGAGACCAACATATTGTTTTTTTACTGTCTTGCAAGAGAGGAGACAGAGGTTGTGCAACCAGCCTTCTCTCTTTAGCTCCCCATATTTTCAGCCCCAACCCCTTCACCTTCTCTCCACCCCTTCTCCCCCTCTCTTTTACGGTGCCTGTCTTCAGAATAACCACTCACATCTGGTTTTGAGTCAAGGCCAAGTTGGTTTTTTTTGGAATGGTGGGCTTTTATTTCTCAATGGCCCCAGTCCTTCTCCATTCCTTGAAGAGTCTGCAGTTTGTTTACGAACTGAACTGGTGTTCCTTTCTTTATACTGATACTCTTCAATCCTCATTTTCATCATTGTGGTGCCCCAGACTCATCCCTGATTAATAGAAACTGCACAGTATTTGTCTCCCAAGGCATCAAATTAAGGAAATAACTGAGATTGTTGGCCTGGTGTGGGTAAGGACCTGTACAGTACAATGCAAAGAAGCTTCATTTGTGATAAAAGGAAGAGGCATGTACAGTAATACCACCTACTGTACTAGTTTTATGCTTTTATTTTTGAGCTTACAACATTATATAAAAGTAAGCTCTGTGAAATATTTGAAAAACAACATAGCTTCAAAATTATATGAGAAAGCTTCCAGGGAGTATCCTGTTTGTGGATTTTGTGTGTGTGTGCATTTTTCAGTTTGTATTTGGATACACATCGACACATCTGATCAAATTGCCATATTTCATACCCTGAGCCCAGGGGAACTGTGTAAACAGTGTTTATGTTAGCCTCTGCTGTTTTTGAAGTTGTGATTGTCAAAATCAGTATGGTATGGTTTGAAAAACAGACTAAAAGACGTCTATATACTTATATTTAGGGGCTGAGCTAGAGGGAGCGATATGAGAACAAAGATGTGCAGTGTTTTCCAGGGGGAAGATGAGTGGTAGGTAGGTAGAGAGAGAGATACTGCTGGGGAATGTCTGATGTCACCTTGTAGGGAGCTATGGAAGCTTCCCCTGGTTACCCTATCCCACATAAAAGTCTGGCAGTAGACTGAGGCTTTAGAGGAGCTTGGCAGAACTGCTGCATTAAACAGGAAGACACACCTCACACACTTCTCTGTCTCTCTTATGTCAAGCGTCTGGGAGGCAGAACCTGTTTACATGGAACACTGTCAGTGCATATTTCCAGTGCATGTTTTTTTAAGATCTAATACCTTATCATCTCTTTGTCATTCTTGTTGAAGCGTCCATCCCACACATGGTTTTTCATGTCTTTCCTGTACCTAATATCACAGGCAGTGTGCATGAGTATGTCAAGGGTTTCAGGTAAATTCCACTGGTGGAAAACAAGGAACGCTTTGCTTCTAAATTCTAGCATATTTGCTAAAGAGCAGTTTGTGATCTGATAGTGAAAGAATGAGAGCTGCTAGATGCCAGAAAGCAGTTAATTTACACATGTGGTGGGCAGATTTGAGATGGAGATACCGTGGGCGATGGAGATGCCATGTGTTTAGATGTCAAACTGCAGAATGCGGTCAGATCCGGCCTGCTCTCTCATTAGCTCACCAATGGATATAATGAGCTTGGAGGTGGAGGGAAGCCACGTATTCAACACAAACCCTGCTGGTGCCCTTCTCAGCCAGATGTCTCTCTTGATATCTGAACTTTAATTGGAGACAAGATTCACTTTTGGCACTTGGTTGATTGATTTATTTCATTATTTGTAATGCTGAATTTTTATTTAGAGGTGTTTGTACCCTCATGGGAAGAGGATGGCAAGAATCAGTGGTTGTCTATGATGTTCCTCTGAGCTACAGAACAGCGTGTCTGTGTGTGAGCCTCCTCTTCCTCACATACTGCCCTATATCAAGGGCCTATGGTATGAAGAGAGGAGATAAAACCATCCAGCACAGAAAAGAAACAACAACTTGGCTGCAGAAACCACAAAAACTGTGTGTGGTTTTGTATAGTGATGCACATATTCTCTTCTGATTTCTAGTGTCTGTATTTGGTGATTTAAGCCTACTGCTTGTTTGGGGCCCAGGGCATGGTACCGGTAGTCTCCACCTCTTCCAGAAGCCTCCCAGAGTCTGTAAAAACCCACCTCCAACTCTCCAACTGAGCTCAGAGGGACTGGAGTAAGCAATAGATAAACCCTATCTCTTTTCAAACAGTTCTCCCCTGCTTCTACAGCTATCTGCATCTCCCCTCTCCCGTCTTTGTTCCTCTTATCTTTTCTTCCCTCCTTTCGCCCCTTTGTGCCCTGTTTCCCCTTTGTGCTCCTGTTTACTTCCTGCCCCTCTCCGGTTTCCCTCCCCCTTTTCTTACCAAAGCTTGGCTCCCATTCTACATTTTCTATCAGTGTCTCCGGTGGCCAATTTGCAGTGGGTGTCCGAGCCCTAACCCTGAGACTCTATCACCCCACCCCTCCGGTGAAGCGGTGAAGGTCAGAGCCAGATTACAGACTGAAGGTATCATCTTTTGAAGTGAGGAATAATCATGCACTATGAGACTGTTATATAGAACCACAGGCCCTGGCGCTGAGAAAGAGGGTGAGGGGAAGGAAGAGTGGGGGGCCCGCTCACGTAAACGCATGCAGATGTTCAGACTCTGGCTTGAGCCTCAGCTCTGCTGAAGGTATATGGATTTGTTTTCTAGCATCTATCTGTTTTTTATTTGTCTTTATTTAGTGGGCCTCCTTGATTCAGTCTGGTGAGATTTTATTTCAAAGTGTGTGTGGAGCAGCTTAGAAGACTGAGAATGATGTAAATAAGATGAATCATTTGTTGTTTAAATACTTGTGGTTTAGGGCCTGTGCTGTACTTCATTTCCATTGTTTCCACAATCCAGTTTTAATTAAAGAATGGCTGCGTGTGTGCACGCACACATGGAGACCCTGGTGCCTTTGCCCTAGTGTGCCTCTGCATTAGCACATGTGTGGTATGGTTATGAATGGACTGTGGTTTATGCAAGATTATTCACATATGACAGGAAATGATTTTTTCCCTTTCCACCCCTTTGTCCCACTTTTGTTTTATGGCTGTGGAATTGTGTATTTAATCAGCCCCATCCTATCTGCATGGAAATTTCCATCTGGCAATTGTTCTCCATTCAAAATAAATACAGGCATGTTGCTGAGAGCTCATTGTGAGGTTTGTTTTACATAAACCAAACTTCTCAGAAATCAAGTTTTCAATTAGAAATACAACAAAACCTTTTCCCCCTAAACTCTGGGCTTTTTACATTAAACACTTCTCGGTGGGTTCCATGTCAAGCAGGATGAGAATAAACAGGTTGGCTAAGGAAGAGAGCTCAGATGGTGAAGTGAATTATAGGGTTTTTTTTGATGGATGCGAGGGCTCTGTTTGAAGAGCTTGGAGGGATCTTGAAAGCTTGGCTGTGGCCGCACTCCTCTGTCCCAGACAGTGAAACACAATAAGCATGCAGATGTTCAAAGAGTTTGGCTGCGCTGGAGCCTCCAGCCCTCTTCCTCTCATCTGAGTAGGAAATGCTTTAGCTAGAACTGTTTGTTTTCTCTGTGTCTGTGGTTTGAACTGCAGAATCACTTACCTACACCCACCCCCCACCCCCTTTCCTTGTCCTAGGAGTTTCCAAATGGTGAGCTGAAGGAAGGACGATTCTCAGATCAACACTGTCCCCTAGAGGGTAGGTGGATAAGGATGTCTTTCACTCACTGATTGGAAAAAAAAGCATTGCTCAAAAAAATAGATCTTGATTAGCAGGTATAAGCAATTAGTATGTATCATTCTATTAATAATACAGCTGTAATATGGTGTGTGTATATATAGATCTGTCACATTATGCATTTATTATTTTAAGATACATGGCGATTAATGAAAAAAGGGCGGTGGGTTGTCTTCTGGTGAATGCATACGTTATAGTCTTAATTTAAAGTTTATCATTTCATGAAGACTTATTTTGAAGTGTAGCTACTGAACCACACAAAAATATTACTTCATATGTGGATGATAAATCAGTGTTTTCGTGCCTAAGATGAATGCATCCTCTTATGTTGACAGTGGTTCTTCCTCCGGAGAAGGCTGAGGGTTGTGAAAACTACCTGCAGTATCTTCACACAGAGGACAGAGAGCGAGAGATACTTAGAGATGCCACCAAAGCCCCTGGGAAGAAACACATCACTCTGGATGTAAGCAGTTATATGACTTGGTAACCCTGCAATTCTTCACACGCTTCTTAGTCTAAAGGAATTTACAGCTCAGTTGGATTGATACAATAATTATTAACAGGAGTATGAGCAGTAATTTGTTTAAGTCTGTCTGTTTTGAGACTGCCCCAGACCATATCCTGATGAAATTTTGGGACTAATAAGTAGATTGTAATGTTTAGACCTGCGGGTCTCAAACAAGTGCCTAGATCTGCCTTTTGATTGCTGCTGGTTTTGTGAGATGAGGAGATCTTGTAGAACCACAAAGAGCTGCTTCTCTCCCTGGGGTCTCCTCCCCTGAAACTGCACACTGCCTTTCACAGTGTCAACTCTCCACCACGCCTGCAGCAGGACCAAGATTCCAAATGTTTATTTTCCCAATCATGGCCATGTTACTAGACACCTCTGGATCCAAATTACTGCCAAAGGTTGTAGCTGAGAATAGTGGTTGTGATTGTTTTTGACGGAAGAGAGTCGAAACACAAGGTCACAGTGGTAGAGCTCAGCACCTCGGCTCTTTTCTCTGTGCTCCCCCAACACAAGGTAAAAACATCTGAATGGTTTTTGTTGAAAAATGATCTGTTTATATGTTGGAACCAAAGGTTTAGCTGGCCCGCGGCTCTGTTCTATCTGTCGCTTTTTGAGCTCCCTAACTTTTAACGAGCAGACTTTAGTTGTTCTTGTTGTCTGTTTCTGCTTTGTAAGGCAGGTTTTAAAGTTGCCAGCAGTTAATATTCTTGCAAGGTTTGATTTGAATTCCAGTCAAAGAGAGATTCCTCTTGTTAACAGCGGCTGCTCATGAAAAATTAAGGAAAATAATCCTCATACATGAATCACACTGAAGACACTAGGTATGATGAGTACGTCTGATGTACTCCGCTGCCCCCGTGTTGCTGTGGTGTGACTGTTGCTTTGATACTTATTAACAAAATGATGTAGATTTGAACCTTCTAGTTGTTTATATGCATCGGTTGTAATACTGTATATTTTATGGACATGGTTGTAACCACAGGACTTGGAGTGTGATGTGTCTGTGGAGGACGACAACCGTCAGGAGTGGATCTTCACCCTTTATGACTTTGACAACAGTGGAAAAGTTACAAAGGAGGTGTGTGTATCAGCTGTGATTCATTATGTACTGAAGCCTCACACTTTGACGCGTTATTATTTTCAAACACAGGCCTACATTACAGACTTGGTTTCCCTATCATTGCAGGACATGTCCAGTCTGATGCACACCATATATGATGTGGTGGATGCCTCTGTGAATAACTCTTGTCATAATAAAAGCAAGACTCTGCGTGTCAAGCTGACTGTCACTCCAGAGCCAAGGTGCCACAGAAGAGAAGCATGGACAGGTAAGTTTTAGGAGAGGGAGATCATTTTGGATGTGACACCCAGATCTGGTCCTTGGTCAATTCTCAGTTCAGTTTAGTCAGTGTTGCAGTTTAAAGTCTTAGGGCAGAGACACACCAAGCCAACAGTCGGCCGTCGGGCTGTTTGGTGAGTGTCTGTCAGGGCTCATCTTCCAGGTGTGTCCCGCAGCGTTTGGTCCCTATCAGCAGCTTTTCAGCTGATTTTTTAATCATGAGATGTTCAAATGTGCTATTATGCCTGTATTGTATTGTACAACTTTCTTTCAAGGCCTATCAGATTGCTTAAAAATAACACATGTAGCAAACAAAAATGGTTCATGTGGATTGAACAGCAACCCTGTGTTTCAGTCTGTAAGTATGGAAATAGATGAACACTTTTTGCTGCTCTGAGGTCTTGTACTTTGTCTTTTTAGATCGCTGTCACCAGGAGGAGGGGCGTTCTTCTGACAAGCGGCTGTCCTCTTACATTAGGTAGATTAAGTATAGTTTGCCTTTGTGGCTTGAATTAATCTTGCACATTAAATGTATTATGTATTGACAGTGTTCCCAGACTTCTCACTTTGCCAGTCTTTACTCATTTACAGTAGCAGAGGGCATAGCAATGAGGCTCAAGCCACTGAGGGTCAGCATTACTGTGTGGATGAGAATACAGAGCGGAGGAATCACTACCTGGACTTGGCTGGTATAGAGAACTACACCTCCAGATTCGAAGGTAAGTATCTTTTTATTGTTTTACAGCCTGCTTGTCGTTGTTAACCTACAGAATGTATAGCATTGATATTCACATTATTACATTACAATGAAAGTTGACTTTAAGGACACATACGGGAAACAGCAATAATCGTAATTGCAGTTCATTTTCATTAAACAAACCACTGATTTGCTGTCTCTTTGCTGCTGTTCAGGTACTGCCCCTGCCATCCCGCCCCAGGAGCATCATGGTCGGAGCTCCCAAAGCCAGAGCCGCTCCCGCTCCCAGGAACCGGAAACCCAGGTTGTCTACCAGCGCCGCTCGCAGATCATCAGTGATAGTTACAACCCCACAGAGTCTCGAAGCAAGGGTGCACAGTCCTTCAAATCGCCCAAAGGAAATTATAAGGGAGGCAGCGGGAATAACGGGGGGAGCGGAGGCAGCAAATCTATTAAATGTCATGGCTACCACCCTCCGCTGCAAACTATGGTGCATGGCGGTGGTACAGTGGGTCACGGAGGTCAGGATGTGTATCATCTTCCGCACCAAGCCCAACCCTCTGCCCACCACCAGCATCCTTTGCAATACAGCCACAGCAAACGGCTGAGGCCCAGAGCCAGAGAAGCCCTGTCCCCATCCAAATCTCCACTGTCCCCTCAGTCTCACCCACAACAGCAACCCCCTGTGCCCTCTGTACTGCCGAGCCTGGAGAGAGAGCATCTGTCTGGCCCACCTGGGAGCCCAGGTTTTGTGGTTCCTGTGGTCCAACGGCACGAGCACCACCATCACCATGAACACCACCACCACCACCACTACCACCACTACCATCAGACATGACCGCTCTTAGTGTGCAGTGACTAAACCTGTACAGGACCAACCACAAACAACCACACCAGTCTGAAGAACTTCACCTCATCCCACAGGAGTGTCTTACGTTCTGTCCAGAATCTTTTTATTCTCCTCTTGTAAGCTATACAGATATATCCTGAGATTAGATGTACTGAGGAATCATGTAGTGTGATGGCAGATGATACTGGACCAGAAGGATGTTGTTCTGATGTTATTGTGTAAGAACAAAAGATGTGTGGAACAGTATTGAAGTTTTTGTAGATGTTCTACTGGGACTACTGCCATGATTACTCATTTTATAAAGGGTACAGAAACCAGAGAGGAGCAGATCTAAGAACTTTTTACGCAACATCCTTTCCCTCTTGATACGGTTGGTTGAAGGCCCGGGAAGCTACATATCGGAATAGGTTTGTTGTTCTGTGTGAGACCGCTCCAAAACAAGGATCTCAGGTGTAAAGGTGCTGCTGCTCTTGGGCTTTTCACAGAGGCCTCTTCCTCCTCCAGGCCCAATGTTGACTGGGGAGGGGGGTCCTATTGGGGAGTGGGGTCGGGGAGATTGGGGGGGATAAAATTACCACTGCCAGTTTTAATGCAAAAATATTTGCTAAATATATATTATAAATCTATATATGTAAACACATTTGACTGTATAATTATTATACTGTATATGCATATTTCATCATGAATATAATTATGCATATATGTATTTGTCTTTTGTATATTTTAATAAACATATAATTCATTTATGTTATCACTGCTGCAGTTTGTTTTCTGCTCATAACACACTTGATTATAACATGTTTGCTGCCACCGTGTGGCTAGAAATAGAACAGCAACTCAAACTAATAATCACGAGCTTGAGAATAGATACACAATTAAAACGTAATTGTGCTTTGACAATAAATAAGAAACTGTTTGTAGGCTAATTGGTTGTCTTGGAATTTTAAATGAATTTTATTAACAGGAATCAAGACTGATGCTTCTCAGAAGCTGGATTAAATTCGAACAATGTATTGTCAATGATAAAAGTAATTTGACCAGGAAGTAAAATACTTAATCTACAATCATGGTGTTGATTTAATTATCACATGTAGATAGATAAAGAAGCATGAAAGTGATTTAAGCGTTGAATCTGCCAGGTGATTTTGGTCATCTACATCAGATTATCCTGTGGTAACAGTAGTAACTGTCTACCGGCAATACTCGCATCCAAAATATCAGAATCAGAATCTGTTTTATTGGCCAGGTGTGCTGGACACGAGGAATTTGACTCTGGTACAGTGGCTCTCAATGTGCATGTACATGCAAGGCAACAGCAAAGGGCAAGTAAACAATATACCAACATAAGGCTGTGTAGTATAACAAAATAAACAGTATAAGATCAAGATCAAAGATCAAAGATTTTTATTGTCAATTCACTATATGTGCAGGACATACAGAAAAATCGAGATACTGTTTCTCTCTCACCTAATGTTGAATGTCCATACCATTTAAGAAACAAATAGAATAAAAGTAGAATAAACTCAGAATAAACAGACTATGAAGACTGAATTAAAATAATTAGGATAAACTAGATGGTACAACCTAATAGTCTATGATGAAACTCAAAGCCATGTTCAAACAGTAACAGTAGTGCAAATAATAACCAGAAGATCGTCAGGTGGTGAGCATCACCAGGGGGTTGGTGATGGGATGTATAATAGCTTGTGAAATGTACATGGACAGTAGTGCAAATGACCAACAGCAGCAGATATGATGGTAAAAACACAGTCAGCAGCAGATTTACATGTAATGTAACATAAAGGGGGAATCTACTGAGTTTGTGCAACAGCAGGGGTAGTCTTTTACTATATCTTTCTATGTTCTGTGGTGGGTTATTGTCTAGGGGCAGAGGGGCGGAGGTAGTGAACAGTGTAAGTGGGAGTGTGAGGGGTGGGAGGTGTCATCAGAAATGCTGATGGCTCTGCAGGTGAGGCGGGTGTTGAAGATGTCTATAAGGGAAGGCAGAGGGGTGCCAATGATCTTACTGGCTGTTTTCACTATATGTTGCAGGGTCCTTCTGCATGAGGCAGTACAGGGTCCGTACCACACAGTGATGCAGCCAGTGATGATGCTCTCATTGCCCCGGTAGAAGGAGCACATGATGGGTCGTGGGGCACTGGCTCTCCTCAGTTTGTGTATAAATAAGCAATAAACAATGTGAACAATGCAAAATAAACAGTATAAACAGGCAGTAAACAATGCAGACAGACAAAGGAATGTTCATTGGGAGATGAGATAAAAATAGAATGAAACAGAGTACTTAAAAGTAGAGACCTGTACGAATCTGTATAATCTGTACAATGTATATTTACCGATATTGCACTGAGGGTTATTGTCCAGTCATACTGTCGTGGGTTAAGTGTTAATCAGAATGACGGCTCAGGGGAAGAAACTGTCCTTGTGCCTGGTTGTCTTGGGGCACAGTGACCTGTAATGCCATCCATATATACTTTTAAAGTTACAGGATGGTGTGTTTTGTCTGGTCACAAAGATGACTGTAACAGAAAAGCCTTATTTTTTAAAAGCATAAGTGTCTCGGGTGTCTTTCTGTCTGCACTTCCTTCTCATTTGCTGAGAATCGCAGAGTGAACAACTTAATCAGTTAAATATCATGGTACAAACCAGAGAGCTTTTATACATGACTGTACTTAACTTCACCAAAGGGTTTATATAGACTATTAATTTTCTGCCTGGTGGTTCTGCATTCCAAGCAGAGGAAAGCCCAGGGAATAGTCTTGTGCCACATGGTACTGACAATCTGCTATGACTTTGGTTCAAGCAGCATCTGGACCCATGTGTCAATTCATTTGTGTGAATTTGATTTAAAACCTATTAATTAAGTAGCACGCACCATGTACACAAACTGAAATGATAAAATCAGGTTTTAGCACAAGGCACTCCTAAAACACAGTCTCAATGCACTAATAATGTAGAGCCAGCCTCTTCATATTTACTAGATATTGTGCTTTACTTGTACATATTGGAGATAGGGTGAGGAGCTCAGAGTAGGAGAGGAGCCAGCTGAGGTGGCTCGGGCATCTGTTTCGGATGCCTCCTGGGCGCCTTCCTAGGGAGGTGTTCCGGGCATGTCCCACCGGGAGGAGGCCCCGGGGAAGACCCAGGACACGCTGGAGGGACTATGTCTCT